CCCGCCCCCTCCCACCCCTTCCCAGGGCCCGCCGCAGATGCCCCCGGCCCCCAGCAGTCCCCCAGGGAAGCCCTGAGCTTCGACGCGCCCCCTTCTACGCCATTGTCCCCCCTTGCTCCGCCGCGGGAGAAGAAGCGCCGCGGCGCGGCGGCGCCGCGGCCCCGGGGTCCCGGAGGAGCTCACGGCGGCGGCGGCGGACGAGGGCCCGGCCCGAGAGGAGGTGAGAGCCGGAAGGAGCCCCTGCCCCGGGCGCGGCCGCAGCCTGGCCCCCCATCCCCCGCCGCGCGGCCCCCGCCGGTTCCGCCGCAGCGCGGCCAGCGCCCCGCACCCCGAGCCGAGCCGGCCGCGGCAGCCGCAGTCCCGCGTAGCTGTCCGCACCCGGCGGGCGGGAGCTGTCCGTGGTGCCGGGGAAGGGGCCGCGCCAGGGGCGGGGCTCGGGGGTCCTGGGCAGGGGGCGGGGCCTGGGGCGGAGCCTCGCGGACCCCGGGCAGATCCGGGTGGGGACAGTGGCCGGGATCCTGTATCAGCGAGGGGATGCTCTCTCGAAGGCCAGGAAGGGCGACTTGTGGGGGCTACAGAGGCAGGAGAATGCCAGGGGGAAGGAGTGGCATCATCTGAGCTGGGGTCCTAAGAAGGTCAAATGTGTAGAGAGGCGACACCCACCTTCCCCCCATGCCTTCCCCCAGCCGTCACTAGGAGTGTGTGTGTGTGTGTGTGTGTGTGTGTGCACCTCTCTGCCACTGTTCCACTGTTCATGCAGTCCCCCCCTGAGCCCAGGGCCCCTTCACAGTCTGGGACTAAGCACATCCCTACTTGGAGGCTTTCCTCTTCAGTCCTCTGAACCTGGAGACAAAGAGACTAAGGAGATACCAGGAGCACCCCATCTCCCGTGAGCACCCCATCTCCCGTGCACACACACGCACACCGTACCGGGCAGAAGCACAGGCAGATGGGCCTGCAGGGAGGGCCCTGTCAGGTGCGGTCTCACGGGGACAAGTGCACACCCAGGAGGGTGCACAGATGCACCCTCCCCCCCAAAGACAAGGCTCCCCGAAAGGTTCATGGACCCTCATCTGGTTTGTTTATGCTGTGTGCTAGTTCCTAGCCCTCTGCACTTCCAGATCTTTCCTTTGATTTCACACCAAGTCCAGGGCCCACTTTTCCATCCCTTTCTCCCTTGCCCTGGCTAGCCTTCAGGTCAGGCTCTGGGAACTGAAGGAATCAGTCAGGATCTCAGCAGGAGGGTGTGTGCAAGGTTCCTACCGCTAGACAGCAGGGGGGAGGGGTGGGAAATCCAACTCAATACCTATCTATTAAGTGGCTGTTGGGTGCCAGCACCATGGTAGGCAGCCAGGATGCAAAGAGACAGGGCCTGCCCTCAGGAATACCCAGTCTAGTGGCAGAGCCAGACATGTAAACAAGTCAGTGGGTTGACTGTCGGACAGAACTCACCGAGCGCTTTAACAATCGAACAGGCCCCGGAGAGGACCGAAAACCATTCTCTCTTGACAAATGACTGAGCTGCCAATGTCCTCCTTCCTACCCCCAGCCCCGGCTTTACATCCCCTCACGTCCCCCCCCCCCCCCCCCCATGCCTCTGCCCTTCTAGATATCTCCTCCGGGACTGCTTTTTGCTCAGGGACACCAGCCCCCTCCCTCCCATCTGAGAACAGGGGAAGGATGTTAGGTTATAAGAGGGAGACTCACAGAGGGCCTGGGGTGCAGAGCATGGGGAAGGATACCGGGCCTGAGGTTTCCTGGGGGCCCCCCTCCAAAGGAGGTGTGAGGCTAATTGTCTGTGAGGGACTCGGAGGTGGATGGGCCAAAGAGGAGTGACCTCCAGATCGTCGGACTGAACGTCTGGAAGTGAGGGCCCCACCTGTTAAGTGGGAAGGTGGTGTCAGTGAAGCATCTGGAAGGGGTCTGGGCTGGGGACCTGCCTTCGCTGATGCCTGTCTGTCCTCCCCTGTCCTCCCCTCCACTTTCTCCTGTTCCACTGCCGCCTTTGCGTCTGTCCTTGGACTCTGTTTCTCTGGGTGCCACCCTATCCATCTGTGTTTGCCACCTGGGCCTCCTCCCTCCCTCTCTGGCGCTGACCTCTTCCTGCTTCTTGGGGTGTCTGTCTCTTTGCACCTCCCTGTATTGGCATTCTGTTCCCTTTTCCTGTCCTCACGGCTCACTCTGGGTCACTTCCATGTTTATCTCTGGTCCTTGGCTCCCCGCTCGGTCATACATGTTCTCTCCACATCCCTGCCGGTCTCTGCCTGTCATCTCTGATGCTGGCCTCTGCCCCGCCATCCCTGCATCCATCTCTGTTCTGGGTCCTGCCACTGTCCCACTTCCTTCTCATCGTGGCCCCTCTTCCTGTCCCTCTGAGTAGCAGCGTCCCATCCAGCCCTCTTTCACCAAGTCCCTCTGCCGGGAGTCCCACTGGAAGTGCCTGCTGCTCTCCCTGCTCATGTACGGCTGCCTGGGGGCCGTGGCCTGGTGCCACGTCACCACGGTGACCCGCCTCACCTTCAGCAGCGCCTATCAGGGCAACAGCCTCATGTACCATGACAGCCCCTGCTCCAACGGCTATGTCTACATCCCCCTGGCCTTCCTGCTCATGCTGTATGCTGTCTATCTGGTGGAGTGCTGGCACTGCCAAGCCCGCCATGAGCTGCAGCACCGTGTTGATGTAACCAGTGTCCGGGAGCGTGTGGGCCGCATGCAGCAGGCCACACCCTGCATCTGGTGGAAGGCCATCAGCTACCACTATGTCCGCCGCACCCGCCAAGTCACTCGATACCGCAACGGAGACGCCTACACCACCACCCAGGTGAGGGGCTGGAGGGGAGCACTGGTCAGTTCCGATGGGAGGAGGGTGCTCATCTGCTCCAACTGTGCCTGACTGTCCCCAGGGGGAGGAGCAGAGGCAGCAGTGAGCTCTGGTGGGCACGGCAACAGGAGGGCGGTAACAACAACCATAATAATAACAGCAAACACCATCAGGCAGGCTGCTCTAAGTACTTTACAAACAGCAAATTATTTAACCCTCATGATGACCTGATGAGGTAGTTAACTATTATCCCCATTTTACAGATGAGGAAACCGAGGCTTGGCTAGGTTATGTAACTTGCCCAAAGTCAAACAGCTAGTATGTGACGGAGCTGGGGTTTCAACCCAGGCAGTCTGGCTCCAGGGTCTATACTGTTTATTGCTTACTGGTGGAGCAGCTTCATATGCACAGTCTCACAGCATGCCCTCACCTGTTCAGTGAGGTGGTTGCTACCAAGTCCTCTTGCACAGGTAAGGAGACCTTAGCTCAGGGACTTGTCTAAGGTCTGCAGCTTCTAAGTGGTAACGCTAGGCTCAAGCCCAGGGCCCTAGGTCCCAAGTCCAAGTCTCCCAGAGGTGGGGGTAGGCATGGGAGGCCACATGGAGAGTGGTGGAGGTGGGGATAATCAATCAGCACTTCCCAGGCCCTCCAGGATTAGACATATTAAGAGCCCTGGACACCCCCTCTCCCCTGCCCGGGGCTCAGTGGCTGAGCGTTGACCTATAAACCAGGAGGTCACTGTTCCATTCCCGTCAGGGCACATGCCTGGGTTGGGGGCTCAATCCCCAGTGTGGGGCGTGCAGGAGGCAGCTGATCAATGATTCTCTCTCATCATTGATGTTTCTATCACTCTCTCCCTCTCCCTTCCTCTCTGAAATCAATAAAAACATTTTTTTTAAAGAGACTTGGAGGAAGAGGAGGATGAGATTTTCCCAGATGAGGGCGATCTCAGTCTCAGTACTGGGATGCGAAGCAGGGGCAGCCTGGGGCCTTAAGAATCAGGAGGGGGGCCACGTGATTGCTAAGGTGTGAACAGGGAGACCAGAGACAAAGGCCTTGGACAGGGAGCTCCTCTGGGGCCCACTGGGAAACACACTTGTAAAAGGGAGGACAGGCAGGCTGTGGTGAGGAGGGGACAGTGTGGGACGATGGAAACAGGCAAAAGAGCCAGGCAAGCTGGAGGCCAGGGCGTGACCCCCAAAGGAAGCAGAGTTTAGTTAAAATTAGAACGCATACTGGTAGGGATGAGGTTGAGTCCTGCCCTCATCTCGAACTCACTGATTAAACTGCAGGCCTCCGTTTCTCTATAAAACAGAAGAGAAGATCCTACCCGGCTTCCACCGGGATCAAAACCCCGATAGGCGTAGGGTCTGACCAGGCAACAAGAGCAGTGATGGGGGCGGGCGAGGATGAGCAGACAAAGTGACTCCCATCTCCTTCCCCCGCGGCGCCCCAGGTCTATCACGAGCGCGTCAACACGCACGTGGCGGAGGCCGAGTTCGACTACGCGCGCTGCGGGGTCCGCGACGTCTCCAAGGCGCTGGTGGGGCTGGAGGGCGCGCCGGCCACGCGGCTGCGCTTCACCAAGTGCTTCAGCTTCGCCAGC